AAGCGACATCGAAACGAAAACGGCCCACGAAATCGCCAAAACACCGTTTAGGTCCACCCCTGGGTCCCAACGGTCCGGCTGGGCGGGCGAACCGAAAATGGGCGGGTCGGGCGGGCGGAACCTAACGGGCGGGTCGGGCGTATGGGGCACCGAAGCGAATCTCAAGCTGCGAAGATGCCTCGGGCAAGAGCACGAGGTCTCGGGCAAACTGCAGGGAAGCATCGCGCGAGAGCAGAACTCCTGAGCGTCGAGGGAGCGGCGCCTGAATCAAATGCAAAGAGGTTCTGAACGAGAGCGCGGTGCATGAGTGAATTGTGCGCACGTCCCGCGCGAGGGCGCGCTTCTGAACACATGTCGAAGAAATATCAGATGGGAGCCGCTGTTGTTACAAACCAAGGGCCAGCGACCCAGTGTGAGTTTCAAGACGTCCACTGGGAGAAGAAGAAAAAGAGACAAAAAAGCATGATGCGAACACTGAGGAGCGCTTTTAATTGGAAAACATATTAGCCAGCGTGGACCCCAAACACGGTGGCACTAGCAATCTATGATATGCAATCCATGTAGAGCAGCACACGTGGTGCAATATCTGAGGTGCAATGTATGCCATTCAATATGCGGGATGCAGTACACATATATATATATATATATATATATATATAGAGCTATATGCTTATGTGCGTAAGTGGGGATGGTGCGATCTATGCTGTGCAATCTAGGTGGAGCAATATACACGGTGCCAATTATATTGTGCGATATCCGCGCTGTCATCTACAAAGTGATACATACGTCTAGTAATATGTATGTGTAAATGTGTGGTGCGAATTATGGCATACACTATATGTTGTGCGATCCATCGTGTGCAATATATGTGGTGCAATATAGTTCTGGTGCTACGCATGTGGTGCACCCAATGTGGCACAATAGATATGGCGCAATGAGAGAGCGCATTTCACGGAGGCTTGCCTTGGGAACATTCGGCGGCGCGTTTCGAACCGGGGGGTGGGCCCCCCCCAACACTCGGCGCTGTCGATCAGAATCAGGGGGTCTCCCCTCCCCCTGACCCCCCCCTCCCGAACCCCCCCAACTCCCCCCTTTCCCCGGGGGGGGGGTCCAACCCCCCCCCCCGCCCCAGGAAAGAAGCAGGAGATTCTAACTCCGCCACTTCCCGGGGGGGGGGGATTCGACCCCCCACCCCTCCTCTCTCTCCCCTCGCTGCCGGCTCTGGCGCCTGCGCCGGCGGCGGCCGGCAGCACCAACGGCAGCCGCAGCGACGATGACAAAAGAGAGCCCAGACGCCGCCACGGGAAAATACAAATTGCCAGATCGAGCCTTTGCTTCCCAAAAGCCACCGGTGGCCCTTAGGAAGTTCCCAGAAACGCCCAAGACGCACCCAGGAGCCCTCACACATGCAGCTCAGACGCCCCTGGGACCCCTCTGACGAGACCCCAGGAGGCACCACCCATTGGAACTAAACCCAACGCCAAGACACGGTGACGGAGAGACCCGAAGGCCACGCTACCATCACCACCACCACCACAAACCACCACACAACCACCAACACCGCCACCACCACAACCACCACAACCACCACAACCCACCACCACCACAACCACCCCCACCACCACAAACCACCGCCACCACCACCACCACCACCACCACAACCAACCACCACCACCACAACCACCACTATAAACCATCACTCCACCACCACCGCCACCACCACCACCACAAACCACCGTCATCACAACGCACTACCACCACAAACCAAAACCACCACCACCACCACGAACCACCACACCAACACCACCACCACCACCACAACCACCAACACCGCCACCACCACCACCACCACCACCCACAACCCACCACCAGCACCACCACCTCCAGCACAACCACCACCACCACGAACCACCACGCCACCACCACCACCACCGCCACCACCGCTACCACCACCGCCATGGCATACCACCACCGCCACCACAAACCACCACACAACCACCACCACCACAGCCACCACCACCGCCACCACAAGAACCCACCACCACCACTACAACAACAACCCACCAACACAACCAACACCACAGCAACCCACCACGCCACCATCACCACCGCTACAACCACCACCACCACCACCACTATCACCACACCAACCCACCACCACAACCCACCACCACCACCACCGCAACCACCAAACCACCGCCACCACCACCACCACAAACCACCACACCACCACCAACGCCACCGCCACCACCACAAACCACCACACCACCACCACCACCACCGCCACCACCGCCACCTCCACATCCATCACCACAACTACCTGCCACCACCACCACCACCGCAACCACCACCACCACCACAAACCACCACGCCACAACCACCATCACCACCGCCACCACCACCACCACAACCAACCATCACCACCACCACAAACCACCCCACCACCATCACCACGACAACCACCACCACCACCACCACAACAAAACATCACACCACCACCACCACCACCACAACCACCACCACCGCCACCACCACCACCCGTACCACAAACCACTTCGCTTCACAACCACCAACACCACCACAACAACTACGACAAACCACCACACCACCACCGAAACCAACACCACCACCACAACCCACCATCACAACCACCACCACCACCACAAACCAAAACCACCACCACCACCACGAACCACCACACCACCACCACATCAACCACCACTACCACCACCACCAACAACAACCACCTAACCACCACCACCATCACCTCCACCACTACCGCCACCACCACCACCACCACAACCTACCACCACCACCACCACCACCACCACCACCTTAGAGAGGCCCCGAAAGACGCCATAGAGGCGCCCAGGCGGCTTCACAAATGACCCTCAGAAGGTCAGCGGAGGAGCTCGAAGCCCACACGAACGACGATCAAAAACGAGTTTCACGCGAGATGGCACAGCGACCTCACGCGGCAACCGGGCCTCCACCGCGGCACACTGCATTGAAGACGCCGGCGCCACCCCGAGGAGAGGGAAAGGAAAGGGGAGGAGTAGGGGAGGAGCGAGAGAGGGGGGGGGGGACTGAACCCCCCCCCTCTCCCTCCGTCACGAAGAGAAAGGGGTGGGTGGGGGTGGGGAGACGGGGGTTTCAAACCCCCACCCCCCAATCCAGGGGGGGGGGGGCCGGCTCCACCCCGCCCCTCAAGGCGACCACAGAACGCGCTCTTTCCGTGCACGAAGGGGAACGATTTGCTATATATGTTCCCTACCTAGGCTCTGCCTAGAAGGGTTCTTACTATATGCGTTTAGAGGGCCGGGCAGTTCCCCCGGCATCCGCCCCGTGGTTCCCCCAGTGACGCCCCCTTAGCTTAGCGTTGCCTGTCTCATCTTAGCTTAGCCTAGCTTAACTTAGCTGAGCTAAGCTTAGCTTAGCTTAGCCTAGCCTAGCTGAGCTTAGCTCAGCCTAGCGCAGCGCAGCACTAGCATGGCATAGCACAGCATAACATAGCATAGCATAGCATGGCATAGCATAGCGCAGCATGGCATAGCGCAGCATAGCATAGCATACCATAGCGCAGCATAGCATAGCATACCATAGCATATCATAGCATAGCTTAGCTTAGCACAGCACAACACGGCATAGCATTGCATAGCATAGCGCAGCATAGCAGAGCATAGCACAGCATAGCACAGAATAGCATAGCATAGCTTATCAAAAGCAAAAAACGTAGCAAAGCAAAAGCAAAAGCAAAAGCAAAAGGCAAGGCAACGCAAATCAAATGCAAAATCAATGCAAAAGTGTAGATGCAGATGTAAATGTAAGTGAAGGTGTAGATGTGGATGAAGGTGTAGATGTAGATGTAGAAATGCAGGTGTAGATGTAGATGTAGATGTGAATCTCGCTGTTGGTGTTGATGTAGATGTATATGCAGGTGTAGCTGTTACTGTAGCTGTCGGTGTACATGTAGATGTTGCGTTCCTCTATGCTCCAACTCCTAGGTATGGTCGCACTGGGATAATGGGGCAAAATACGTGGTGCAAAATATGCGGTGCAATCGACGTGGTGCAATATAGCTGGTGCGATCTACTGTGTGCAATCTATGTGGAGCAACATATGCGGTGCAATCTGAATAAGGCCATACATGCAATACAACCCGTGTGACGCAATGTGTGCGTTGCGGTCGGCGTTGTACTATCTATGTCGTGCGATCTATGTTGTAGAAAATATGTGATGAAAGCTATGTTGTGTAACCGGTGCGGTGCAATATGCGTGGTGCAATGTGTGTATATGTATGTGTATATATCTGTATATATATATATATATATGTATACATAAATATCTATGTATATATATATATATATATATATATCGGATCGGATCGGACCCCTCGGAGGCAGCGGTACACGGGTCTCAGACGCGGCGTGCCTCTAGGATCGGGCTACACCCGAGATGAAAGGACAAGTCACACACTGACGGGAATCGAAACGCAGGTCTTAACGCCTGCTCGATCTCACAAACCTCAAAATGGCTTCCATCGTCCTGGAGTCGGTGCCTGGGCCTAGCCTGGCAGCGGAGGACAAGGACGGACTCCTGGGAGGTTGCGGCAGACGCTGAGGCGGACACTGAGAGAGCGAGACCCCGCGGGGCTTCTTCGGAGGCGGAGGGAGGCAAGGGGGGCCCCAGGGCCAAGGGAGGAGAGGGGTCAGGTTCAGGGTGCCTCAGTTGGCGGGGCTCAGGAGGCTCAGGAGTTCTCTGCCTCGCGGCCTCTATCTCACGGGAGTGTGCCATCAGCGAAGCTGCACGCATCTCAGTACTCGACGTAGCGGGCGCCGCCGTCGGAGCTTCGCAGGTGGGAGCAGCCGCAGTAGCACTCGTCGTACAAGGAGCATCCGTAGCTGCATTTGGGCGCCCCTCGCCCGCGTCAGCGATATTCAACTGAATGCCAGGGCTCCATTGCGCACAACTGTGCCGTGTCCAGCAGTACTCTCGATCATTTAGCCCATGAGAGTGTCTTCCATCTGCGCCAGCTTCGTGTGCAGGATCCGTTCCATGTGTACCATGGGTCCCTGGCCTGGCTTGTAGTTCGCGCCCGTCTGTATGATCGCTTCGTGAATCACGCCGAGGTCGATGTCGGTCTTGTTGGAGCTGAGCTGGAGCTTGGCCATCGCTTGGTCGCGGGTGTCGCTGGCCTTCACCAGTGGAACGAGCTCGACTATCTGTTTCATTGCCAGCGCCTTCAACTTCTCGGCCAGCTCGGTCAATTTCTTCTGGTTGAGGCCTCCGACTGACGCGCCTTCCCGGTGGAGACCTTCGAGCAGGCCTACAAACGCCGCGACGCCGATGGCGCCGATCTTCGCCATCTCCGCGTCGCTCTGGCCCGCCGCGGTGGAGCTGCGGATCCCCTCGGCCCTTCCGCGGATCGCCACCACGCTCTTGGCGCCAGGGGAGACGAGGTACGTCTTGATCAGGATGACGTCGGTCTGGCGCTGCTTCATCGCGACGCTGAGAAGCAGCTTCATCACGATGGGGGACATCCGCTGGATGTCTTTCAGTTCCATCTCGTCCAGCGTGAGCTCGCCTGAGTTCACCTGCCTGTTCGATCCATTCTGCTGGCCGCCACGAGCGTTTCCTTGTTGTCGGCGGGCCTTCCGTGGCTGCTAGCGACGGTCGATCGGCAGGTCGGGCATTGGTTAGTAATCGTGAATCGTGAGTGTTCGCATATACGACCACGTTCGCCCCCCTCCCCGATCATCGCCTGGCGCACTCGAAGGGCTTGTTTTGTCTCGGCCGCGAACAGACTTACCGCGCCATCTTCACAGAGCAGGCCGCACGTGCGAGGGCAGTTCCAGCGGACAGTTGCATCTGGAGCTCTGCGAGCTGGGGCGGTTGTTCCAACCACCACTTGCGCAGTCGCGCCACCGCGAGCTTGATATGAACGCCCCTGCCCGGGGTCGGTTGAAAAATATCCAGCAAGTCATCACCAGTGACGTCGAGGCAGGCGCGGCCGTCGGCGAAGACCTGGAGCAGTTGCATATCGTCCATGAACTGCTTCCTCCACGGGTTGCCCTTGTGGGCATCGTCGCCCACGGGTCGGACTGGTGCCCGGGGAAGTTCCAGAGTCTGGTTAATTTCGCACACCAGCGGTCCAAAGACACTTGCGAGCAACTGCACATGGTGCGTCGGTTCTCGAGCAACGCGCTGCCATCTCTTGATTCGAATATATATATATATATATATATATATATATATATATATATATATATATATACATACATATATATATATATATATATATATCGACGGAGGGACCATCTTCAACTTTTTCCAGACTGCGCGCGGAGAAATGTTGCGGACCACCTCGATCGTTGCGGACGGGTCGGCGTCGTGGACAGACTGCTTGACACACGCGGTGCCCTGGAGGAGTGCTCGGGCGCATCGGGCGGCACAGGCGTCGATCTGAGCGAGCTGCGCTTCGGGGGGGCCACGGGCTTCGAGCCCAGAGACAGCTGCAGAATAAACTTGACATCTGAAAACTAGCTTCCGTCGCCCCAGTTGCCTGCAGTCATGCCAGAAATGCCCTATGCTCCTCCATCCGCGAGCAGCAGCTGCACATCGCGCACGTGCCTCGGCGCGATTCAGGCCGTTCGCTCGCATGAGAAAGCCGAGGAAGAGCGTAGATGGGTGCACTTCGCCGTCGACGTGCATTTTACCATAATGTAGTGCACGTGCGCAACGATGAGCTCCAGGTCCAATGACGGTCGGTCGTACAGCTTTGGTTGCCCGCGTTCTGCTGTAGTCCGATGGTGCTCAGCTTCTCGTTGGGGATCGCGTCGGCGTTGTGCACCTTGCAGGCCGCCATCTGCGCGTCCGCGCACAGGCGGGCCTTGGCGAGGTCGCCGGCGCACTTACGAACGCTGAGGCCGACGCTGGTGCCCGAGAACTCGCAGCCCGCAACCAAGGAGGATGACGTGCCCGTGGCAATCGATGCGCCCCAAGCGTTGGTAGGCGGCTTGAACGACACGCGGAACTTGATGGCAGCGTCAGCGTCACCCATGAAGCACCCCACGCGGTTCTGGTAACACTGGGAGTTGATGCCGTCGCTGATGACACAGGCGGCTCTTCGGCGTCGCCCGCCCATGATCGCGCAGTCGCCAGGGAGGTAGATCTGGTCGACGGCGGTATCCAAGTTCGGGCGGGCGACGGAGGCGAACGCGTTCGTCATGTCGTGCTTGGTTGTGATGTGGCTCTTGCGGACGTGTTGGAGTCGCCATTGGAGTGCCAACCCTACAGAAATTAATAGCTTCTGATCTCGATCTGGCACGCGCGCACCCGCGCCCAGTACCATCCAGAGGCGCGGTAGTCAGAATCTGCCGCGAAGAAACCCAAATATTGCAAAAGGGGCATAATCCGTGTAATAGCCGTGTGCCTCGGGTTCGCGGCTTGTTATTCATCTTGCTCACCTGGTAGGTCTGGGAGAGGTTCCACCGTGCATTCCGTCGTCGGCGTTGCCGCACCGCTGCAAGTTGTTTGAGAATAGCGCCACCAAGGAGGGGCCCAGGGAAACGCATCGATGGGTCATACTCAGGGCAGCCATTCCTCTCCTGGTCTTCGCTGCGGCCCACGAGAAGGAGTGCCCACACATCAGCTGGAAGTGACCATTCAGGTGCAGCTCGTCGTCGTTTGCAATGCGTTCGTAGCCGTCTCTGTATCGATGCCATGTCACATTGAGCGCGTAGCCATTGAGATGAGCCGGAGGGCAAAAACGCTCGCCATGTTCAGCTGCGTTGCCGATGACATGGTTGATGTCGATAGGTGTGGCCCCCATTCCACCCTCAGCGCCAGGTAGTGCCACATATTATGCCCACGTTTGGGTCGATGGTCGGGCGTCGGGCAGGTCGAAATAACAGCGCCTTCCAGGTCCTTTGCCGCTCCCAGCGAGGCGACGGCAAGCGCGCCAGGCCTCCGCTTCAAGACCAGCTTCTTCGGCTTGCTGCAGTTCCTGGAAGTGTTGTTCGTCTCGGTGGTCGCGCAGTCGTCGTCGTAGTAGTTTGCATTCTGAAATGCAGCGGCGAAATACAATCGCGCTCTCAAGGTCGTCGGTCGAGTTCTGCCTCGCGAGCGTTCGTGCGTGTAGGGCTTGTCTACGTAGTAAGGCACGCTGCTGATTTTCAATATCAATATTAGATATTTCGGCCTCCAAAAGTTCGAGCGCCCTCGTTCGGATAACTGCCATAAGCTGTTGCCACTTGCCTTCCATCGTATGTTTTTCTGCCCATTCCGCCATGTCTCTGCGCCCGTACTCGCGCATGGGGTTCGTCAAGTCTCTCTCGGTGTCGTCGCGGAGCTGCTTCGCCTAACCGTGGTACCTTTCGTCGTGCGAAGCGAGGAAGATCCGCGTGAAGCCCCACTGTGGTAGCGCACTGGGCTTGTCGTACGTGAGGGTACAGTCCACGTCGATGCACAACATCATGTGATCAAGTAGCCGTTGCGAAAGAAATGCTCGTAGTCGCTTAGTGAGGCGGTAGGCGATGTTGCGTCTGCGTACAAGAGGAAGGTAACGGATCGGCATCACGATGTAGTCGATATAACTGGTGTGTCCTATGAGTCCGTGGTACGTCGGGCCGCACTGGTGGTGTGTGTTGGTCGCGCATAGGGCGTAGTCCTTCAGGAGCGCGTGGAAGGCGGTTCAGCATAGTGCTGTTGGCCGCTGGCGAATGCACCAATCGTAGCATCTTCGTCCCCCGAAGAGATGTCGCGCTTCAGGCCGTCGCTCAGGTCCGTAACGATGAAAACGCAGGTGCGGTTCGGCAGGCTGGCGAGGATGTCGTGCACGTGGGCAATAATCTTGTCAACGATCACTTCGTTCTTGATCGCCGTGGTGTGGCGAAGAGCGCGAGGTGGAAAATACGCCGTGATGAATGTGTAGTCGAACTGGGAGCTTTTGACTCGCACCGCACCCATTCTGCCACGAATCGCCGTGGGCGTCTGCCACACCTTCACAATATGGGATTTCCGAAACCATCGTCTGCTAAGCCAAACCTCGGTACCACGTGATTTGTTGCCAGTCGTGTTCTTGTTGCAACGGTGCCAACCGAACTTTAGCATGAGGAACTCAGTGGTTGAGTGTGTGTCGTAGGCGTCGATAACCTTGGTCTGGGTGCCAGAGAGCAAAACCGCGTCAACATGTTGTAAGTATCGTGAAATCTCGAGGCGTTTTTTTGTAATCTTGCAGTGACATCGGATTCCATGAGATAAGCCGCATGTGAGCCGTCAGTGTGACATAATAGCCCGAATTGCAGGACGTTGGGCATAGCGTCCCCGCTATGGAGACCACAAGAGCTCGAGCCAGAGCTGTGTGTATATATATATATATATATATACATATATATCTATATATAAATGTATATAAATATATATATATGTGTGAGTGTGTGTGTGTGTGTGAAACAGTCGATGTGGTGCAATCCATGTGGTGCAATCTCCGTGGTGCGATCATGCGAGGCCGCGACGAGGCGGTGACGGAGCGCGACGGCGGCAACGTAGCCGCCAGGCCGACAGACCGGCCTGGACGACGGGCGGCGACGAGGTGGCGACGGGCCAGCGACGGCGGCCCAGTTCCGTGGAGGAGAGGCAAAAGCTCCTGAACGCAAGCACTGTTTCAGGAACGATGGGCGCTGGGCAGGGCGGGAAATGAAGATTCAACCCCGCCCTCCTCCTCATGCTCCTCCTCCTCCTCCTCCTCCTCCTCCTCCTCCGCCTCCTCCTCCTCCTCCTCCTCCTGCTCCTCCTCCCCCTCCCCCTCCTCCTCCTCCTCCTCCTCCTCCTCCTCCTCCTCCTCCCTCCTTTACCTTCTCCTCCTCCTCCTCCTCCTCCTCCTCCTCCCACTCCTCCTCCTCCTGCCCTCCTCCTCCTGCTCCTCCTCCACTCCGCCTCCGCATGCCCCTCCTCCAGATGTGCTGGCATGCAGCTCAGAGGCACCCATGTAGAATCGGTCTCTGCAAGACGGAAAGGGCAGACTGAACATCTCGCTCCCGACCGGTTCAAAGCGGGGGCCCACGCGGACGGCCGTCAACGGTACAGTCAACCAGGATAATAAGGATGCGCGGTAAGGATGCAAGGGCCTTGGAAAGCCATGTTGGGGTGTTCCGCGCGGAGCGCGGAGCGCAACCTAAGGATGCAAGGGTACCCTGAAGGGCTGGCCAGCGAAAGCTGCCAAGGATGTGCCGAAGGGGCAAGGATGCAAGGGTACCCTGGCCAAGTTGCCCCATCCTTACTATCATGGTTGACTGTAGCGCCCGTCAAACGTGCTGCCTACCCTGGTTCAATCCGAAGCGTCGCTACGATCCGCGGAGAGGCTCCACGCTGCTTCCAGGTCATCCGACGTCCTCTCAGCTCCGACCGCCTTTGAGGAGGGCCCGTGGGACATTCTCGAGAAATTAAAGATTCCGAGTCCCCCAAGGGACTCGAGGACCACACGCAGCAAAACCATGAGAACTAGCCAGAAACACTCGCTCGACCGGGAATCTCCCTGATGCGATGCACAGCTGATGCGTCGTCGATGTGGAAGTCCAAGCTGCAGAACTACAACGTGC